CCAAAGTCATCTTTTTTACCTCTAATTTGTTTTGCAATTTTTCTGAAATTTTGATCAAAGAATTTTAGCCAAAGGGAAATTGCCTCTATTTGGTCCAAATTATTAAAATGTTTCACCAACATTTTGGTGAAATAAAAATGTTGGTGTTCATAATTCAGAAAATATGTAAGCATTGAATTTACAGAGAATAATACATGTATATCTTTAATTTTCTATGTGAATATGTTGCAGCAATGAAGAAGATGAAATCATTGAATGTGACTATTGTGGAATTCCTGTACATGAAGGTATAGTGTTGTCTTCATTGACTACTCTGTGTTCTCCCCAGGATACAAACTGCATGCTACCTTGAAAGACCACATGCTCAAAATCATTAGCGCTATGCTGATTTTTGTGCCTTTACTTTTGGTTATGATTTCCACAGCTATTGTTTTATGAGACTCATTGTGGCTGTTCTTTTAAGCCATAAAAATAACCACCGGATGTCGGAAGGATGCTAAGTTTGTTTGGGTCGGCATGTACTTGTTGCAAGTTGTAGTCTATTTACATCATATTAAACATGAAAACAAACACATGGTCCATATGAACAACCATGTTACATGTACATGTATGGTAAAAGCAATGATGACACTAAGTTCCCTGTTGTCTGCAAATACAACTGTTGAAAACCTGAACACCTGAGCTTTTTACCAAATATTGTTAGCATTACATGTGGTAGTTGAAAATAAATCGTAAATAAAATTGAGGAGGAAAATGCTTTTCTATTGTAATTGGTTTATTGGAATCTTTAAAAATACTGATATATAACCTTACTGATGATCGATTGAAAAAAAACAAAAATCGTTGCAGGCATTACGTAAGGCCCAGAAAACTTGATGTCAAATAGTTCAACTTGCTTTCTATCATGGCTGGTGATCTTTTTGCCTACCTTATTCACAGACAGCAGCCTATCTGCCGTTCTAGTCATAACGCAATATAAAGAGAACTGAAATACTGCATTCTTGGTAGACCCTTTTGATTGAGGTACCACACAAAGTTGCCACGATTGTTTAAGATCATTATTCAATTCAATTTCCACTACGACCAGGGATATTTTGTACAGTTTAGTTGTTGTTGTCAATTAATAGAGAATCCTCCATTGCATTTTTTGCTATTTTTGCACAACAAAAGCGGATGAGTTCTTTATAGTAATACTGATTTTTCTGATTTAAACCATGACTCGTGTTTTCATTCTAAATTATAAAACTAAAAGTAATACAGTGATCAGTTTAAAAGAAATGAAAAAAAATGTACAAATATTATGAATAAATTATGTAAATTATGTGCTAATTATTATGCAAATTAGCCACCATCCTTCATCAAAATTCTGGGGAGACCACTGCTATTGAACATTCCATCAAGGGGCACACTTTGTGCATGACATTGTGTAAACATGGTAACAACTCTTTCACTATTTATTCAAAAGAGTGAAAGTTAGATAAAAACAAAGGTTGAATATTTTGTATTGTGAAAATAGAGGGCGCGCTGTGCCTTGGCATCAGTTTGCTATAATGCTTTGTTTAGGATTTAATATTTGAACACAATTTACATCACTTTGAAATTTACCTGTCCAGTAAAATCATTCTTTATTATCATTTCTAATTGATATGTGTTTATTTTCTTTGTTTTTTGTCAGGCTGCTACGGAGCATCTGATGTAGATTCTGCTATCAGTAATCAGACATCCAGTTCTACAGAGCCCTGGTTTTGTGATTCATGTAAAGCTGGTGTGAAGAGCCCAGTAGGTTCTAAAATGCATGTTTCTTGGTTACCATATTTTAGAAACAGTTATTTTGTTTAAAAAAAACTTTTAATTGATACTTATTCAATTCACTGTGCACTGTTACATGAATCTGCGTCACAAATGGCCTCCAAGATTTTGTTGATACGAAAAGAACCACAGAACTGGTTTTTGCTCTTCAAATTGTATCACTGTATTCACTTTCTTATTACCATGGTTACGTACATCAGTGGAATAGTTGACTCTTAACAAAAATGGAACACTGTGTGAGCGGCAAAAACAAGTCTCCTGGCCGCCTCTTCAGTATCTCTCTTTTGAATACCAACTCTTGATGTAAAAGTGTGCTGTGTTCAGCTAATTATAGTACTGTGATTACTTTTCATTGGAGTTTTATCATTTGAATCCCATTATTGTATATCATCTGTAGTTTTTTTCTAGATGAAAAATGTTTAATTGCGTAAATATGAATGTTTATTTAGAGACTGTGCATAAGTGGCTACCCATCATAACACCTTAACCTTAACTGACATTACAATCAGTGAAAAGTTTGTTTATTCAAAGTATCAATTTTGCATTGTAAATAAGCTCAGCTAAGAGTTTGTTCATGTTGATTCATTGCTCAATACTGCACTGGATTCTGACAGTATTTTGTCCTGGATTCACTGCTTGTCTAAATTGTATCATTCAGCTAGCGCCTATATAAAACCACTTAATGATTTACTGTAAAATATTGAAATTAGTTTTCGCTATTTTGCCTGAGGGGGTCATTTAAGTGAAAATAAAACCCAGCGAATAAACATTTTTTACTATATTTTCCATTCAAAATAAATTCCATACAAAACACCTAAAACGTCTTTTCACCATAAATTTAATTCTAGTTTAAATAAAGTATGCATCAAAATAAGAAATAATCTGATATGTTTTAATTTCAGGTGTGTGAGCTGTGTCCTAATATGGGCGGTATATTCAAACAGACAGATACAGGAAGGTGAGTAAACAAGTCAAAAAAATTAGTGCTTGACTTTACAAGAATGTGTATGGTAAAAGCAAGGATGACACTAAGTTCCCTGTTGTCAGCAAATACAACTGTTGAAACCCTGAACACCTGAGCTTTTCACCACATGAATACCATTATGGACATTGTTCGATTATAATAAACAGTTAATACAGCTGTCGAAGTCATGGACGCTATTACCTTCGCTGATTCTGTCCTAGAATTCTGATATTAGAGACACTTTATTGGGTTGCAGCTCATAAAGTTGCATTCTGAGATCAGTTGTAAAGTTTAATTAGGGGACTGGTTAGCTTGGGACAATGTACATGTATAAGCTTTTCACCCTTTGAGTGCCTAAGTCAACTTTAGGCACCATTTATTTTCTGCTCTTTTCAACATAAAATTTCAAAAATTTTCAAATTTTTCAATCAAAAACTAAAAAGCAATGTCATGTTTATTCTGAATTCAGTAAAAATTACAGAAAATGGAAATAAATTTACACAGATTTCGGGCTTGAAAAAATTTGGTGCTCAAAGAATTAACAGCACAAAACTAATGTTGGGGGTTTTAGCAAGCATCTGAATATATCATGATATGGAAATGATTAAACACGGGAAAACTCACCCGGCCCGGACACGGCGAGGATTGACAGATTGAGATTCGCTAGAATGTGTTTAAATTGTATCAAAATAAAGATGTTCTGGTGAAGTTAAAGAAAGGATGCGAAAAATGTAGAAACACAAATACCAAATTTCAAGTTCATGTGTGTGTGTGTGTGTGTAAGGAATTAATTAATGGTTTATTGAGGTAATGGTTCATATCAAATTACCTTCGCTGACCTTACTATTGGTTGAAATGCATGTTAATACGATGCTTGTTTTACAGATGGGTTCATGTGGTATGCTCATTATACATTCCCGGTGTGACCTTTGGTGATGTGGATAAACTCAGTCCTGTGGTACTATCTGAACTCGGTTTTAACAAGTGGGCAACCAGGGTAATGTAAACTTCATTTGCATTTATGCTACAGTATTTACGTAATCTAATGCCAGACTAATATAGCAAATATGGTATTACCTACAGTAGTTACTTGTATATCTTCTCATTCAATGTACCATACTTGCATATTTTTTATGAAAATGAAATATTACTCCCAGATAAAAAAGCTTGGCAAATGTAAGAACATGCAATTTCATGATGAAATGCAATGGATATGTCACACTTTACCCATAATCCTTTGCTGTAGAATCAAGATGGCGGAATACATAATACTGATGAAAAGTTGAATATCTAGCGAATGAAAAGTGATATAAAAAAACTGTAAATTGCGTTCTCCTACATTTGTGCAGGTCTTTCTTTAGGGAGCATTATGTTGTTTGACTTGAATTCCCCTTTAACCTGTTTACAGTATGTTGTATAATGTTACACTTCATTCAATCAACTCCAATAATAATGCATGCTTTTACCTATTTAGGATTGCTGTTACTGTGAGGATGACCGGTTTGCTAGGACTGGTATTGTTATAGGATGTGATGCCGGGATGTGTAGGAACTACTTTCATGTCACATGGTATGTACTCTCTGTGTCTCACTAAAACATGAAAATTAGTTTTGTTACAGACGTGTTATTCCAAGTATCATTGACACTGTAAGCATATACATTTTTAATTTGCAGTCTTCTAATAGGATATTTCTTTCTTGAGTGAAGAAGCAACAGTGAAAGATGAAATGTTCTTTTATCTTCTACAGTCCCTGTGTTGCCTTTTTTTTACACAATCTGTTGTTTGCCTCAATTCTTGGGAATTTTCTCCTGCCTAATTCTATTTCCAAATTAGGGTCACTAAGTCGAAACTTAGTTACCATTCTTCTCAAATTGAAATCCTGATTTTCTATTAAATATTCTTCAAATTCATATTCCATTTTAAACAGTTTATAAGTTCTTAGTTTGTTTCCTGAATTTCCATTTTTTGGGACATGACTAAGTTGCTGATTCCATGTTTGTATATATTTATTTGTTAATTTTTCCTTCAACAATTTACAATACAATTTAATATACAGTACAGTCTGAGGAAACATTAAGCCCCAACGCATTCTATTACATTCTATTAAAAGTTAGTTTTTAATTATTTATCATCGTTATAAATAATTTTAAAATCGTCTTTAATTTATTAATCTAATTCCATATTTGATAATTTTGAAAACAAGATAGCTTTAAGCCAACTCAAAGCTACCTAAGTTGTTCATGGGATTAATCTATAAGACTGAGAAAAAAAAATATCTGTTTCTCGTTTCCGCGTGCATCAGTTTGAACTATGCGCCTCGAACATTTTTTTTTCCTTTAAAGCAATCCAAAATGCACTTGTACTCGCACTTGTCTCATATTTCCCCCATTATCCCCAGTATTCAAAAAAAAAATCTCTTCACCGCCTCATTTTAAAATTTCCATGTAATGAGAAACAGAGAAATTTTTTTTCCTGGCCTAAAGTAAAATTTATCTGTTCAATGTGTGACTAGTATTTATTATTTGTATGGTAAAAGCAATGATGACACTAAGTTCCCTGTTGTCAGCAAATACAACTGTTGAAACCCTGAACACCTGAGCTTTTATCACCGAGTCACATTATCAATTATTTTCCACACATGTTCATGTTGTTACATGTACCTCTGGTGTTATTGTCAGTAGAATTATTGGCAACTCTATTTGAACATTAATATCTGTTCTGGTGATATTTATTTAATACATGTATGTTCTATATTTGTTTTTTTCCATAGTGCTCAGCGTGTTGGCTTATTGTCTGAGGCATCACCAGAAGAGGTTTGTAAAATAATATTCTATTTTACAGCTGTAGACATTTTGACACGTCGTATACTTACCATATTTAGCTCTGCTGTCGACTTTGTCGAGCGGAGCTTATCATACGAGTGATTGTCCATCGTCGTCCGTGTCAATGTTTTACTTTTTCGACTTCTTCTCGAAAACTACAAGCCTGAATGCTTTGATACTTGGTGTATATGTACCTTGGGTAGACCTCTCTCAGATTTGTTCATTTCATGATGATATCTTCAATTCTCTAATTTTGGTGAATATTTTTGTAATTTTTAGTAAAAAGTGAAATTTTCAACTTCTTGTTAAAAACCGCTAGTCCAATTGCTTTGATATATTATACATATAGGTACTACATGTGGACCTCTCTCAGATTTGTTCATTTTCTAATGATGTCTTCAGTTCTTTAATTGAAATGTACATTGCTAACAGCGGAGCTATCTCAGCCGATAGGCTGCTTGTTTCTGTATATTAGCATTGCTTACACATGCATAATTTCGTCTGTCAAAATGAGTTACATGAATTAAGTATATTAGAGATCTGCTTTTGAACAAATAGATGATACCCCCCGGTAGTTGTATATTTTCTCAATTCTTCATGACTTAGCAAATAAATTTATTTGGTTAGTAAGAAAAATCTTACCTGGATGTCTAAATTTAAGTGGCAAGAGACTAACCTGTGAAACACTCTGATATCCAGAATAAGATTTAGAGTAAATGATAACATAAACAACTTCAGAGTTCCAACTAAAACTTCTTGAATACCATAGAGTAGATGATAGATGATAAATGGCTGGATGACAATGTCGATAGTTATCCGTGGCTGTGCTAGACTACAATGTATTTTGTGAATAATTTCATCTTCTATTCATTCATTCACATTCATTCATTCATTCATTCATTCATTCATTCATTGACACCATTCGACAGTGTGTGAAAACAATGATGACACTAAGTTCCCTGTTGTCAGCAATAATAATGTTGAAACCCTGAACACCTGAGTTTTCACAACAGAAAGTTAAAATATATCAAAAAAAGATTTAAATATAAGTGGATGCAATGGTAAACAGATTCTGATCATGACTGTATTTTGTGTCGCGATAATATTTTATTTTATAGATCAATAAGTTACTTTGTATAGGAGAATCCTTGATATTAAATGAGTGTGTATTTCTCTATTCTAGGACATTGCTGATCCGTTTTATGCATATTGCAAAGTACATGTTGAAAAGCTTCTTATGAAAAGTAAAAGGCAGAACTGGTTGGCTGTTAAATCCCACTGTCGACAACAGTCTATTGATAATGTGCAAGATGAGATTCTAAAGGTGAGGAGTCAATATATAAACTTGTGATTTGTCATGTGTTTGGTCATGTGTTTGGTCATGTGTTTGGTCATGTGTTTGGTCAAGTGTTTGGTCAAGTGATTGGTCATGTGATTTGTCATGCGATAGGTCCCATGTGCGAAGCACAAAATGGGAGTCTTTGCAGTTAGTGTGTCTGTATGTGTGTATATATGTGTCCGACTGTTCCACTGCTATCTCAAGAACCATACATCGGTTTTTGATGAAACTTGGTGCATAGATGCTCTGGGCCAATGCGCAGATTTGATTAGGTTTTGGTAAAAATCCATGCTCGTTAATTACCTAATTTGCATGATAATTAGCTAATTTTTAGCTGTTCTATGACTGTTCCACTGATATCTAAAGAACCACTCATTGGATTTTGATGAAACTTGGTATATAGATGCTCTGAACATATGCGCAGATTTGATTAGTTTTTGGTAAAAATCCGTGCATATTAATTACCTAATTTGCATGATAATTAGCTATTTTTTAGTGGTTCCATGACTGTTCCACTG